GAATTTAATCTGGTAACGATGAAAAGAAGAAGCCAGTTTTACAATACAATCAGCATTATGATGAAGCTGATGATGATCCTAATGTTGTTAATAAGTTGTTGGATGGAATAGTATTGTCGTAAGATGTGTTGTTGAATAAGAAATGTCCAAGCTTTTTCTATATCTGTTTGAAGCTAATTTCTGAAGAGGTCTAGTGACATCGAAGTGAACAAGAGCGGTCAGCTCAGAACCTTCAACTAACTTTCCATCTCTCAGAAAATGAAAAAAGCACTTTTCATAATTCAACGCTCAAGTGAAAGAAAAAAGAACTTCACTCAATTCCAGCTTTAAAAAATTCAAAATGTTAATGACTAACGGCATTCGGACTGGAAAATGCCTAATGATGAGGAGGATGTTTAACAAAGTCCTTCAATGGAACTGGACAACACCACGTCGGATAAAATGAAAAAAAGCAAAACAAATACAGTTCTGAAGATGAGAAGAATCTGAAACTGCACTTCGGAACAAGCTGACCAACTCCCTCATCAGAATTATTTATTCTCTTAAGCTAATCTATTTATTATGAAAGCTTAAGGACTATCGTTAAGCTGATGAAAGAAGTTTCCAGAGCATTCCAGGTTATGGGAATCATGCAGCTAAAGGAAAATGGAGATCGTATTACATCAGTCAGAGGAAAACAGGAAACAACTCTTATAATAAAAGTAAAAACAACTTCTTAAAAGGGAAAGCTGAAAATGAGGTGGCTAGAGGTAAAACCGAGATTGTTTGAAATGAATCGAGAAGAATACAACGTAACGGATGAAGAAGAAGAAGAAGAAGTCAGTAAGGGAATGACAGGATGCGCAAATGAAAAGACTATGAGAGAGATACAAAGAAAGAAAGAAGAAAATGAGAGATAGTAAGAGAAAGAGTTAAAGACAGAGAGAGAGAGAAGGAATGAAGAAGAAGTAGATGTCAATAACCAAATAAAGAGAATGACTCTTCAAAAGGTAGTTTGAAGCTACATGTTCTTAAGCTTTTCCCTTATGTACTCCTTTTTATCAAATAACAAAAAAATTTCGTTTACTTGTCAAAAATGCAAAACGAAATGAAAATAAAGAGAATGGTTGAACACATTCACAACACAAAACAACCACGGAAATAGTAAAGGTTGAAGGTCTTTTACCTAAACCTCAGATTATCAATCAACCAACTCTGATCTCAACTAAAACTAATCCTACTGTTGACTTCTTCTCTTACAGTAGATGCCTAGATAAATATCAAAATCATTTTGATGATGAAATTTGCATACCATTTCACTTTTCTTATTTCACGTGAGAAAAGTTGGTTTTCACTTTCATTTTACATTTTGCTCTGGTACAGAGCGGTTGTTCTTCCTTAACTTCAATGCATTACACGTTCACTCGCTCGTTTCATATTTATTCCTCGCTTTCATATATCTATTGAGCGGTCGTGGCTAATCTTACATCAGACGCGTCTTTCCATAATAAAAGAGTTGTCATCAAGAATAAAACAAACACGGATTTCAGCGAAATCGTCTCAGAATTCGACTGTATCGGAAAAAAACAAGAAAGTGAACTTTCCATATAATCATAACGGTGGAAGAAAAACTACAGAACTGACAGTTTCGCTGTCAAGAACCGAAGAAGAAGATATCATTACTGAACGAAAAAAGTTGCACTCATTCTCTCTTTCTCTGTATTTTTTCTCTCTCTTTCTCTGTCTTCATATGGCTGTCTCTTTTTTTCTTCTCGTCAATGTCTTGGCGACCAATTACATACAAAAAATATCCGTCTTCACCAAACTGACACATTCTGAAGCCAAAAGACGTGAGTAAATCACGATTTCTGATTGTCCAAAGCAATTTTTGGGTCAAAAATGTCTTTTCATCGCCGCAGAAGAGCAAAAGCCTTTCCTATTTGCGTGTCAAACCTAGGTATTGTTCCTTCCCGCAATGAAACCGTCTGAGCGACCCAACAGTTTAGTAGAAACAGTTTGTTTCTGATCGCATTGGTCAAGTCCTAACTACATAATAGACAAATCGTTTGTGATTCTCTGCTACCATAAGTTGATCATTGCTGTTTTCTTCGTGCAAATTGAATAAAACAAAAGAAAAAGAAAACTTTCAAGTGGACAACAGGACTTAATCAAACGAAAAAAGGCCAAAATGAAAAATGAGACTGTTGGAACAAGAAAAAATCAAAATAGATGACCAGTTCCACACAATCTGTTTCGGTTCGTTGCAGCCACTACGGGAGAGACTTGAAAAGATATATTTACAATACCTATTGTTACTTTTATAATTAACAAATTGCTTATGTTCGAAGCATCATCTAGCACTTAGAGAGGGACTGTCAGCCGGCTACCATCATATGTCAAACTGCATTTCCATTCTATCAATCATCGTTTTAAACAACGATTCCAATGAAATATGAATATCCCCGATGATTTTGAAAATTTCGGTATACAAGACGCCGCTCTAAGCCGACCTCAACTTCGTTACTTTCTTATGTGAGATGGTTGCACGTGTTTTGATGCGCCAATCACTATCTCCGCTAATTTTCTTCTTCTTTCTCTCCCTTTTTATCTTTTCTCTCGCAATCTTCTCTTCTTTGCTCTCAAAGTAAATACAGCCTGGCCATTTGAGTCATTCATAAGCTTTTTCCTTTAACTATCATTATATGAATCTCAAGTGTACAATGAAGGATGTGATGAAGTAGTAAAACAACTAGAAAAATGAAAATATCACTTTTCAAGCGTTTTACCAAAAAAGGCAAAAAGCCCCCACTCCGCATCATTCCCTCTGATTTCACAACAAAAATTGTTTAAACGTCATTTGACCAAAAGTTTGTTTGAAACAGAAAACCTTATTAGCTGTCTGATTCTATACTGGGATGAGAGTGACGAGTGAATGTGTTAGAAGATGGTGCAAGAAAACAATTTTTTAATTAACACCAAAGCTATATGGGGATACTCTTTTGAGAATGAAAGAAGCAAAAGTCGAAAGAACAAACTGAGAAGCTAGATGAAGTAAACCATATAATTGAATGCAATCATTAGTAAGAAAGATACAAGAAAAAGTAGTAAAATAGCACAAAAATGAGACTGACCGTTCGATTTTGATGAGGAAAGTGAGCTTCTCCTATTTCTGCTGTTTGTCTATGAAAATCTGTCGGTCACGTCGGTAGAGATGTCGGAGACACAAACCTAAAACTTGAAAGCATTTTAGTGAGAAAAATAATAAAACACTGAAGAGCTATGCTCAGTGTTCATTTACAAACTTCTTTCTCCCCCGCCAATTTTGCAACTTAAGTTTTCATGTTCATCTCTGATTGATTAGTAAGTTCAGACATTCCTGTGCTGAACTACTGTGGTCCATCGATGATTGCAAAGAATACGAAAACAATCCCTTCATTCTCTGAAAAGATCTCTTGTTGAACAAAAAAATATAATTCAACAATCAGTCCCCCTATGCCTCCCTCACAGAATAATTGATATAACAACCGTTCTTTGCGCTCTACAATCAACCAAATGAAACGAGTGTCCCCGTGGCCATCAACGACAATTTTCCGAAGGCGCCATGTCAGCATTTTCAAAGCGCACGTGGACATGCAATGAAATAACACGTGCGTTTTCACAAATAAAAGTGAGATATCATTATGAAACAAGTTGTTGTCGTTTTGCAATCAATACCATCATGCCATTTCTGAAGATTGACTCTCTCTCTCTCTTTGTTTCTATCCCCCTTCTCTCACACTTTCTTGGTATCTTTCTCCATTCATCTCTTTCTCTTTCCCTCTCCACCTATCTAAAACAGTTCTGTCTTTTCTTTTTATAGTTTTTTAAATAAAACTGTATGTGTCGAGAGCGATAGAAAGAGAGTGAAAGAGAGAAATAGATGGAGAGATAGAGTGATTTCTTGAGAATTAAAGCCCGGTCCTCAATAGCTAACAAACAATATTATTCGAAAATAGTTTTTGCACAAGCATATGAGAACATATAATCTGTTAGTTTAATAATATAAAAGACGATTGAGATAACAAATATGATACTATTTATACTTTTTCTTCTCGTCATTCACATAAATCAAATGTTTTTCAATTATATGCAATCGAACTCTTTCCAGTTTCAATGGAAAAGTTGTTTTCATTTGAGTTTGAAGATCATCGAAGTATGGAAGTTTAATTGCTTTCATTGCTAGATGCATGTAAGATCATCTCTTTCGTCTCACATTAACTCATCTATGATAGTAGACCAAAGGTGAGATATGATGAGCACACGTTCTTGATAACCAACCAAGATGCTTACTTCCCCCTCTCTTTCTTTTTCTCTCCTCTGGTGATCACGAGTTCGGCCTGCTTACTCTTTACAAGCTTGACACATATTTTCAAACTATCTTCGCACTTTCAGTAGCAAATGCTGTTACAAAATGAGTTGCGGGTTAACGACTCTGATCTCTCTTCTGCATATCGTGTTTGAAGAAGCGGCAGCTTCCACTTTGCCATAAGCCTTCTGAACCTCCACTTCGAATCAAAACATTCTTACACTCCAGTTGCAATCTCTTGAAAGAACTTGGAAAATTTGTATTATTGACATCTTCAAAGAGGAAATAGTTGAAAGGGCGTTTCATTTTTGAAAACAAGCCAACCTCGTGCTTCTCTTTTCAACACTTTGCACCAACATTGGCGACCCCCCCCCACTCTACAGAATGATTGTAAACTTCGCTTCGATATTAACACGTTTACTCAACAAAAAAATAAGTTTAACAAAAGAAAAAATTATGTACAACTGTTAACTATATACATCTCACTAAAGTAACCAGTATAACGGAATACACAGCAATCTGCTCGACACATCTTTCCAAACTGTTTTTTCCCGTCGGCACTGCAGAAACAAATAAATATAACTTAAGCTTATGGAAGGGAACCAAAGAGAAAAATAAAAAAACATATGTACAGAACGAATGATGGGGATGAGGATGGAAAGCAGCCTAGATTTTTCTAGTTCGAGATGGTATAATCTTTTCTCTTGAATGCACTTCCAGCACCATCTGAAACGCGAAAAATCAAAATGACTGCTCAATCTGGACCAAATTTACCATCTCCGAGAATTTTAGTTTGATGTTTCATCAAATCCTTCAATCTCGTATCCTATAAATAGGCAGATGAGTAGAAAAACCAATCCTGTTCTTCACGTCATCCACACTTCTACTTTACTTTTCTCATTCGTTTTCTCTCACTCATTCTTTCAAACACAGAATGTTATGAGAAGTCAGATAGAAACATTCAAAAAACCTGTAACAGCATGTCCAAAATTAATACAAAAACGAGTGCATCAAAAACACTTTTTACACTTTCAAAGTTATTGGACCCCTTCACACACAAAAACTTTTAAGTTATTGGTCACAAACCTCGGTGAACGACATGCGACGTTCCGAGATAGGTCCTACTGGACTGCCCTTAGAGGAATTCTGTCCCCAGTTGAAGCCACCGGCATTTCCCAAAATTCCGGACAAGGACATACGACGTTGACGACACTCGACTGGAGAAGAAGTGCTGAAGTAACGAGGTCTGGTACCGAATGGACAAATCCTTAAAGCTATAATGCTTACCTTCCCTCCGAGAAGGATGTCTTACGCTCATGGAGATCCTCATTGGAACCGGCAGAAAGAGTACGATCCTGAAGAGAAACTCATCATAATATAACATGCGCGAATTACTTACTAAACGTCCCATTCTGCTTGGTTTCCAGAAGAAGTCATTATCCCCCTGTAACAGATAAGACGATTATAGAATGATAACATTAATCACTTACAGCATCGACGGTAGTGGTAGGAGAAGTTTGTTGTCCAACAGCTGGCTTGAACACGATGTTCGACTTGGAAACAACATCGTTGACGGTGGGTGCCTTTGCCATCCTGGAAAAAAAAACAGTAAGCGAGGCTTGGCCGTCCGGTTTCCGAAAAAAAAACAGAAACTCGGCAACAATCTTGTTATCATCATCTCATTTCCAACTGATTATTAGAGTGAAAGAGGGAAAACAAAATTCAATTGTTGATAACAATCTCGTGAAATATGGCAATCCTTCACAAAATGAAAGATTTGTTTCAATCTTTAACCCTCCCCAACATGAATTCTTCCTCATCATTTCATCATTAGAGCTGATTAATGAAGAAAAGGTTTGTCCAATCCTCTCTGTTCCTCTTACGAACAGAAGCGAATTTCTCTCAAAAGTTATTTTTTTACAATCTTTCTCTCACGATTCTTTCTTCTAGTCAAGAGAACGTTTTACATGTGACAAAAAGGGATAACATTTCGATCTTTGAGACAACCTTCACAAAACGCATGACCCTTGATTGAAAATGTAATGGAGAACAGAAACTGTTCTTGTCCCCCACATCTATCAAGATTGCCGTCCAAAGATCCACAAGTAAACAAAGAGATGAAAAAACTTTAGAAGTTGAAAAAAATCTACCAACCACATGATATCCATAGGTTCCATAGGCATCTTTCAATTGGTGCGTTTAGATTTGAACGAATCTCTGTAATGAAAAAACTGTGTTTATGATTCAAGGCAAGCAAAAACAGAGCAAAAGACTATGAAGAAGTGAAAATGAAAGACGCCAAGCTGAGAGAAAACACCACGAGCTCGGCAAGAAGAAGGAAACGATAAAAAAAATGAATTGAACTATTGAGAACAAATGCGACGAGCGAATTCCTAGACTTGTGCCCTCGCGAAGTACTTGATTGTCCGTAAACATGTGCACTCAGCAAAAGATAATCTCAAAACTGCAAAAGAGAATGCCGATAGCTTCTACAGCACTACTTGTTAAATATAATCAGAATGTTTACAATAAAACAGAAGAAGAGAAGGATGGCTGGGCAAAGCAAGTAAAAAAAATAATTGAGAAATTTCAGCTCTAATGAACCTTCAAAAATATGAAGACGACCAGAAAGAAGCAGAACAGGAACGGTGACTCTTCCAACGCTGTTACGAATGAAAATGCTGTTCAAAATTCGGCGTAATGATCAGACGGCCAAGGCCCTCGCTGACTATTCTATGCACATGCACTTGCACGAGGCAGTAAGAACGCCCTTTCTGTTATTTCTATTTCTGCTAGCAATGAGATATTTGTGAATCCTGGAGACCAGAGAGGAAAAGAACATTGACAAGCAAAAGAAAAAGGGACGAAACTATCTGACAGAAAGAGAAAGAGATGGAGAGAGGAAGAGCGAAAGACAGGACGAGTTAACCATGGGTTTTATTGCAAAACAAAGCCTTATCATAAGAATATTCTCTTTTTAAGCAACACGTAGTCAAAACACTAGGTGGACTCAGAAAATTAGCTTTTGCGCCTTCCAGTTATAAGAGAAGAAAATGATAAGGAATGATAGACTATCTAGGGTTGAGGGGCGTCAGAACCAAAAGAGGCAGTTCCAAAAGGTAGAATCAAAAATAAGAAACTCATATCACTCTTTGATAAAGGAATAACTTGAAAAAATTAATCGAATGAATAACATGATCAAATAAATGATAAAGACCCAACGATCGGTACACAAGAATTCTCTATAAATCACTAAAAAGAGAATGAACTACGTGCATTCGGGAAGAAGTGTACAACAGCGGAACAAATGGATTCGCATTTATGAATCTGAATTAATAACAAAGTAGAGTTTAGCACGGGCCAACGAAAGATTGTTAGTATGTGTTAAATTGGAGGCAAATAAAGCAAGCTGCCCTCAGAGAGCTGCAGGCGCGTGACTATAGGACGACCACAACATAAAAATTGCGCGAAATGCCACGAACTCCGCGTCCTGCGCATCCAAGGTAATCCAAACACGCCTTATGATCACTAACCAATTGATTGCTGAGGAAGATTCAAACCTCGGTTTGACAGCAAAATTGATCGTTAAAATTTTGGACGCTTGGTTTATTTCATAATTTAAAGTTTGACAAGTGCAATACATTGGCAGAATGGCAACAACAGCCAGTCGAGTTAAAGCAAAGGAGGGTAGTCAACAGATTTGTATATCACATATCATTCGTGAGAACTGTAGATTAAAAGTATTTCAAATCAGGTTAGGAAACGTCAGAGTCACTTTTATAGACACGGGTACAGATGAAGAAGAGATAGAAAATGAAGGTTATCCGCCCCTTTCGGACGTTCTTTGGACTAGGTCTTCAGCAAAGCAGACGGAGCTCCTGAGAGGCCAACTTGCCACAACAGAGAAAAAAGATTAAAAAAGATGAAGAGATAGGAGGGAACAAGAAGAAATTCATTTGCAATAATATACACAGACCAATAGGTGAAATATTAGTGATTTAGGAGACATAGCCTGGTGTATAATGCAATGAGTGAAGGGAACTGCTTCATCTTGCGAATCTTGCAAGGATTCACATTAAGAAGAGGGACTGCGAGAGAACGAAGCAAAAAATAGAAAGAAAATAGCAGGAGAGACGCAGAGGAGGAGGCAAGCGCTCACAGAACCATAGAGCTCGTAGAGTAGCCTCGTGACATTGCGCCGGTCACATACACACAGAGTAAAGGCTTAACCAGAAAAAAAAAAGAGAAAGGATGAATAAAATTTGGAGAAGACCACATGACCATTTTAGCGAATCGACAGAACACACAAAATTGTTGGCAAAGCGAATTTTTGGCATACAACTTACAAAGAGTTGCAGCCGGCTGTACTGTCAACACAATGCTATGGCTTGCAGTGCTAATACTGAAAACGCGATCTTTTCTCTTTCTCTATCCGAAACAGAGAGATCTACAGAATAGAAAGAGAGTGAAAAAAAGAGAGCTGTTCCCGTCTACTATTATCTGTTCAAAGACGATAACAATGCTCATTAATGATGAAGCCATACTTATTTAGAACCAAACCTAAGAGTCTCGAGAACACACAGATAAGAAGGTTATGCTGATAGATAGTAACAGAAAATAACATAACAAATGAAAATAATGCGTAAGACATGACGAATAGACATGCGAACAGAGGGAAATCGACAACGACAGCAGCTCGAAAAGACAGTCGCTCGTCTTTATTTCAAGAGAAAGCTAGCTTATCAATAGAAAAATACGTGTATATATATATATATATATATATACACAAATATATAAATAAGTATATATATATATATTATAGTAAATGACACAAATTCTTACACAAACAATCTGTTCTTGTAGAAGAACTGAAAGAACAAAAAAAGTCTAACAAGAAAGAAAAAAAAACAAACTACGGAAGTTTGTAAAACTTAAAGTTCATGACGTACAACCGTCCTCCTGGCCAACAATTGTATTAAATGAACTATTGATCTACTTTTTGGCGCCCACTCCACGTGTTGCACGGAAGTTTGAAGGTGCCGAGTTTCAAAAGTGGTCTATCATCTGATTACTAGTACCCTTTTAAACCAATATGATAGTTTAGCGACAAAGAAGAAAGAGATGAACATAGAGAAAAAAAATCGACTGATCTTTGATTACAAAAAAGAAAAAAATTTTAATGAGGCATATTGCGAATGAACGACGCTGAGACAATTAGTCTTGAATTTGATCAGATAATAATGTTTTGCCTAGTTAAAATTTTAATTATGATCTCGTCTTTTCTATCATTTTGATTTTGTTGTTGTAGGTTATTAGGTGTTGAAACTAAAATATATATTTTATGTTATCTATACGTAAGCAGAGCAAGTATTGAAATGAATCTTCGGAAAAGATATTATGTATTAACTGTGGGAGACAAGAATAAACAAATTTCTGCGAAGAAGAAAGTATTATCTGCGTGCCATCAAAGATATTCTTAGACTATCTGTCGAAGAAATTTGTTCCTTTGTACTTGTCAGAGACTAATGGTTGATGAGTAAATATCAACAGTGTGTGTACTAGGTCTATGTGAGATACCTAATAACATCTAATTGGATCGTACTCTTCCTGTTATCGACAGGACTTTCTCATAACGTTAACAAAAATAGACATCAAATATCCAAGAATAAGATATTCAGTCCGATTTTTGAGCTAGTTGCCTTTGACGATGGAAACATCGTTCTACTAGCTGAAATAGAAGTATACAAGATCGAAAATGAAATGTATGCCAACCTCAGCATTGATACTTAAAGCCTCATTGAAAGGAATGTAAACGCCTTCAAGCTCATAGTTTACGTTTCGATGAACAGTCAAGCAGAGAATGCTGTTGGCGGGTTTGTCTTTAACAATAAGCAGCTCATCAACCATCTGAAATTAAAATCGAAAATTTTTTTTGAATTGAAAAGATAGCAAACATCAAAGCCCTCAAGCCTCAACATCTCGAACATATGGAAGTATAGAGATCTTTCAAACTTTTTTCATTCGGTGGAAACTGCTCGATTCTATAGATATCATCAATCAGATATTCCTCATCTGTATTCCAATAATGCATATTGTTCTTGAATTCAATTTGTAAAAATGATTGTAATGATGACAGTTCTTACTATACAAGCATGAATCAGTTCAGAAGTGAGCTTTGGTATGGTAAACGTTTCATGGTTAGCAGGTTCTAGAAGCGCTTTGTATTTTGCAATTGCTTCCTCAAAGCTTAATGTTCCTTCATTGTCTTCCGATCTGTCTTTCCTTGGCGAACGTTCTTGCATACATCCATAGTAAGAGGATTTGTAATGCCAACAATACTATTATACGATTGTGTTCCATCCTTTGGGTTTCTCAATAGACTTTTCTTTCTAAGATCTCTCTCTTCTTCGGTATAATATTTCGCCATTTCAGGTCTTATATCAGAATGATTAAGAGGCTGAATAAGTTCTTCCAGGTAGTCAACAGATTTGTTCACGATGAAAGAGGGAGTCCTAAGAAAAGTTGTGTTTAGTCATCATCACAACAATTTCTGACTTTTCCTCTGACGATCTATTCATAGCGTTCCTAAACTCTTCGTTCTGAAATGAAATGATAATAAAAGAAACGGTTTTATGTTTCTTGCAGAACTCAGTAACGGTCTGATAGTAAGAGGGGGGATATTGCTGACTGCAAATGATTAATACAGAAGTATAGATAGACTAGAGGTTATACCTCCTGAGTAAAAGCATTTCAAGGCGAAGAGATGGACTGTATGGTTGTAAAAACCCTTAAAAACAACCAATGACTCGTTAAGAGCTCAAAAATCTTACGGTGCGTGTGAAGAAGTCTCGAAGCATCGTTTCAAATATGCGATGATTATTCTTCTGCGAAGGGCGCCCATAACAATCTTTCTCCTGAAAACCCGTTATGATGGGGAAACGAAGAACTATGATTACTCACACCAACTCTAAGAATCTGAAAAGATATGGAATATCGCTAACGTGTTGCAGTGGAACTCACGGGATGCAGAATGAATTTGGGTACAGGGGCAAGGGTTGTTTTTGGGCAATCGTAGTATTCTTCTGAGTACATATGTTCTTCATACCACTGTGATTTTAGCATTTGGCATTCTCTTACTTTCTTTAACAGTAGACGGTTTGAAGTTTTGATATCACGCTTACCCTTCCGATGAATAGTTCCAAAGTTCGGCGCCGCATCATGGTAAGCGGTAAAGTCATTACGAATCACGAAAATCCAACCAGTATTGTTGAATAAGTCCCGGACAACTCTAAAGAATCAAACTGTGCCAGGGAAAACAATGGTTTGATCAACCATTTCAGGTTCATTCACATAATCCTGTTCTGCTGGTCAATCTTTGCTCATACCAGGGATATCACTCCATTTAACCCAATAGACTACATCATCGTTATTTTGGAAACGGTGTCCTCTTACTGCCATTCTCATCATCCGCCATATTAAGTGCCTCAAGACTGTTTTGTTTTTGTGGGAAATGAGTGTAGAGAGTGAGATAAGATAAGAACAGAGAAAGTGTAATTGTTTGAAGCAAAACTGTTAGAAAAAATGAGCTTAAACAAGGGTTATCAACAATTTTTAGAAGAATGCTCAATAGCTTAAAGAGCATCTATTGTTGCTTGTGAGATGCTGGGAAATATGCATTAGGATAAGGATCAATATAACTGTGATCAGCAAAGTATGAAAATAGCTATAAGAAAGATTATGGTGTAATTACATGTATGAATAATGGCATTCATAAGTTGGATGAGAACAAACGCTTAAATGCTAATGGATGTAAAAAAATAAGAAGATAGAAAGGTGATGCAGTAGGTTTGCCAGTTATCAACAAGTTGGATGATGTTGAAAGAACTCAATATGGCCGGACACAATCAACCATATGAGTGAAAAGGAGGAAAAGAAATGAAATCAACGGCTGTCCTGCGAAACATGGCAGGAAAAAGAGGCGGGTTCCAGGAATTATAAATATAACTTACAAACAAAACAGAAAAAATTATAATTAATTTCGTTTTGTCTCTTTGCTGACATGATTAGAAGCGGAAGTTTGAGAAATAACGAAATGAACGGAAAGATATTTTTGTGAACTTTTCAAGTGAATTGTTTTTCTGGCTTTTGATGTAAGTGGTAGAGCTAGAACGTGATCTCTTCATAAGAAGTACTTGATAAAGCTTAGTCGAACGTGGAGATATAGATAAGAAGTTGAGTGAGAGACATCAGCATGTTAGTCACACATGGAAGTTAAACGAAAAGTCAGAAAAAAGACTAGATACAAATAGTTTGAAACGAAGCCTATAGGAAGAAACTGATAGCTACAGAGAGAGAGAGAGAAAGGATGAGGAAACGAGAATAGAAGAGAGAGAGAGAGAGAGAGAGAGAGAAACATACGTGAGAAAAAGAGAACAAAACGAGTTGGGGGTAGACTAGAATTAGTCAGATATGCTATGTATAACTGAGATTTAGAGAAAGATACTGTGAAACGGAAAGAAAAGGCATTTTTTCAAAGAAATTGATTGCAGAGATAATCTCATGAACACTCTACTATTTGAAAATATAAAAGAATGCTTTATTAGAAAATCATATAACCTACAATTAGACATGAATTTATTAAAGAATGAGGGTTGCGAAAGAATGAGACGAAAATAGATTTCAAAGTTCGTCATCAGCATTCTCGAGCATTTCGTCTTCTATTTCTTTTGCTCTTTTCCATCGTCGTAAGGATTCTAAATATACATAATGTATTCTATTTGTTATTGTCAAATCTATGAAGAGTCACCTGCGTCGGCACAGCAAAAGCTTAATCCGCACTTGGAATGAACACATCGATATGGCTTTGGACATTTTGTATTACCCTATGAATAATAAACAAAGGTTTTGAAATAAACAAGCTAATAAAAATACATTCAGAGGATCACATGTATGAGCGGATTGATCATCTCTACGTAGAATGCTCCATCCATTTGGGCAGTATTCATCTATAAAGCAATGAATACTGAAAGGTTGATACTTGATCTCTTACTTGATGTGCAGGATATCGATTGGCATATGTGAAATGTGATGAACAATATAAAAATACAATATTTCAGCATTGTGTAAAAAGAAAATCAGCGTAAAAATGACCATATTTGGATATTTCCATCTTCATGATGACCTCATAAGATTAGTTAGTATGAAGTATTGCGCTGACAAAGCGAGATGGTGGGTGGCAAAAGGAAAATCATGAATCGTTGAGGTGGATGATAAGAAGAACGGTTTTATCATTCACACTGATTATCATTTAAGCTTTCTTGTTCAAAAAAGAAAATTATTTGTTTTATGAATCATTCTTTCAGAAGACTATTTCATTGAATGTCTTTTTTATTTGATTAATCGATTATCTTTTTCTTTTTTCTCTTTCTCTCTCTCTTTCCCCCTCTTTCAATATATAGTCTGCTTCTACAGCTTTAGCTCTCTCTCTAATACTTCTTATATATTCACTCTTCTACTCTCTATCTATCTCTATTCACCCTCTCCTTCCATCGCTCCTATCCTCTCCATATTTCACATGAGACATTATCACTTTTACCTCATATGGAGTTTTGAACTTATTGTCACACGTCACTCACTGATGCTTTATCATTCCTGATCTTTCACAATTTTCGTTTTATTGAGAAATTTTTTTTGTTGGTTTTGTTTGATTGAGCTATGAAAAGCCTTCCTGTCAGATATACTTCTTCTAAATCTTATATTTTGAATGTAAAACATTTTAAAAACTCTTCCATATGTTAATATCTTTTTGAATCAGTCGATAAGAGACACAATCACTTCTTCTCTCTTATTTCCTTATTCATATTTGACTATGAAAAGTGCTCAATGGATTCTTTATCATTCAATACTTCGTTGCTTCTCTCATTGTTTCCGGTGTTTATGTGGAAAAATAACTATTTCCTTTAGATAGAATAGAGAAAAATGGATTCTGAAGGCAAAGATGCAAATGCTCCTCCATCCTATCAGGTAACATGAGCTACATATGACTATTGAATAATGAACTTAAGGAAGCAACACAATTACCAACAACAAACCCTATCAACCCTCCTTATCCTCAAACAAATCCCAATCCTATGCCACATCCAGTAAGTTATCTTCATCTTAATGATGAGAAAATAAGAAAATAAATATTATTGTCTTATAGCCACCTCAAATGTATGCACAACAGCCCCAAACAGTCATCATACAGCCTAGTCATCAAGCAACAGTTGGACAAAGTATTGTAATAGTGCATGAAATCAAAGTAATATAAGATTTTTTAAAAATTAAAATCAATTTCATTGAAAATTGCAGGTCGCACCATCATTCGATCCATATTTGGAAAATTGTCAATATTGTCATGCCCAGATGATTACAAGAAGAAGATTCGTGATGGGATCAATGGCATGCCTTTTCCTATTTTTGTCGATTATCTTCTTCCCATTCATTTTCTTTATTTGCTGTACTTCATTCCAAGATGCTCATCATTATTGTTCAAACTGTAACAGACTAATTGCTGTTCGAAGACGATAATTTGTATAATTATTCATGACATTATTAAAATTATAAAATGAATGTGGAAATTGAATGTTTTTCTGATATGAACGAATAGTAGAATGAATCAACTGATGACTGGACGGTCAGCTTTACGTTCTCCTTAATCAACATTATATGAATTTTGATCAAAAAATATAAATCATACATTTCCAGTATTATGTAAAACCAGAATTTGTTTTCCTTCCGGACTCAAAAAGCTCACATGCTCAATGTCATTATGAACTTTGGATACTGTGTCTTCTGTTCGTTTTGATCCAACTGGCACATAACGACTTGAAAAGATAATACAAACTACAATGCATGAATAATAACAAACCTGAAGTGAGCCAAGATGTAGTACATTGGCTGTTTATAGAATTCTACTTTGTCTTTATCGATTAAGATTGGCGCATCAACAAAGTTTCCAACCCAGTTAGGACCCCCTTGCAGATCCAAACACAGATTCCAATCCACCCATCCACTTACGTGATTTGTAAAATCCTTCAATTCATTATTACATAAAATATTATTATGCTATAAATATTACGGTTATTATAGAGTGAGCATAATTGCGAGCTCTTCCCCAGTCTCCTAATATGGCGTTGTGCTCAAGATATCCATTGCATGACTATTATATTACCTAATTTTTTGAAACGTGATAAACAAAACCTCTGTGTAAATTAGGAAATGATCTTTATGACGTTTGTAAGCCGCAGTTAGAAAACTAGCAGGAGTTTCATTGTCCTCATACCAATGAACAGCCGTACCAGAAGCGTACTTAGCTGCTTCTGGATCATCCAGGATCTATTTGTTTCGATTTTCATCTTATTTGTATCTGAGCTTGCTCCTACCGTGTTTGACCATGACACAACATTGAAACGTTGATCATCCAATATCAAGATGTTGATGTCTTTAGTTATATTATTTCCTCGCATTGCAGGTCCCAATAGTCCTTTCAACCAATCTCTCAAAATTATTTGTTAGAAGCTTCTCTTTTGATTCAAAAATTTGAAGATTGTTTCATTTGTGCGTATGTAATGAGCATGTTGATGTTGCGACAAACCTTTCCATTTCCGCTGTGAAATACATAGTTTGCCATTGGAATGTAGGAATGAATCCATTCGATGGCTCATTCTGCATAGATGTTGCCCAGAAGTCAATACCTTGTTTATGATACTCTTCGAAAAACCTTGATATATTAATAGAAAGTATTCACATTCAATCGTATCTCACTTGATAAAGTACTGTGTCCAGGTTTGATAATATTTTCCGTTGACTTCACCTATCAGTTTTCCGGCACCTTTCATGTTTCCATTCGTTTTCATCCAACCTTAATAATTCCGGTTGAATGTCATTAAGATACCAAAGAGAAATGAAGAAATGAGTTTTATAATGTTTCTCTCACTCTATTCTATCATGATCTTTGTTCTTGAATCATTACAAAACATTGTATTGGGCCTACTTATCAATAACTGATTTTCGCCTTACCTGGAGCAGCCCAAGGAGCTGTGAATAGCTTCAAACGATCACCTGCTAAATCCTGTGCTTGTTTAATAAAAGGAATCTGAAGAGAAAATTTCATTCATCATGAATTTCTCTCACTTTGTAGATGAAGTCTTCGTTGGCCAAGGAAAAATTTTTAAGTGCGAAATCATCGGGGACATCGTCATAACTGTAAGCATATGTGGAGAAGTCTGTGCTTGCCATTGGCACGCGCCCAAACACATAGTTAAGACCTGATAGATAATAGTTCTAAACATTATAGTTAGTTGATAAGAACCTTTCTCTCCATAATAACTGGTGATAATCATATCACGCATAACTTTCGGAATAGTCAGAAGGTTGATCCCAACAGCATCTGTGAAACCTCCTCCGAATCCCATAATGCTCTGCTCTGTATTTTTAGATAGTTTAAGTGTGAATGACGAATCTGAGGGAACAGTGGATGATTGAGATATTTTGGTTTGCTCCAGGCGTTTTCCAGAACGGGTCGATTGCAATAAAATGGCTTCCCCAGCCAGCAATGTTGGTAACGGTTCGAAATCATCACAGTATGTTGTATTGCAAACACATACTATATGCTCTGCTTTGACAGTTCTTTTCACACACGGATTGAAACAGTCTGAATGGTTTCCAGAATTATTTCGCTGTTTACCTGTTTATATTATTTTATAAACCTACCTCCAATTAAAAGGAGAGAAAACAAGGAAAGTCCTGTTAGCCACATGATCTTCTTTGCAAAACGTTTAGTATGACAGCTTTTGTTATCACATTCTTGAAAATACACATGGTTACTGTTCGAGAGACCAGGTTGCAAGTGATAAAATGTATTGGCTCATGATAGCAGTTAACAAATTTTCTTGAGGTTTTCAACCATTCGGTATTCAACCATGTTTGAATATAACGCGACTTTCATACGGTGCAACAATTATAGAGGTCAGGAGCTTCAATTAGTCATCAGTCTTCAGTCAGGTTAATTCTGATTTGCAAAGCTGTCTATGATGATACAAAGAAATGATTCTAAGTGAGTTAGAACCAGCAGTTACCTCG